TGTGTGTGTGTGTGTGTGTGTGTGTGTGTGTGTGTGTGTGTGTGTGTGTGTGTGTGTGTGTGTGTGTGTGTGTCACACCCGCTCGCAGACGGTGTGTTAGAAGCGTCTGTAGTAGTATGGAGGGGGTCCGTAGTGCATGGGCATGTCCATGTTGTGGTGATGAGGGTTGAAGGGGTGGTTGCGGTTCGGCTGGTTGTTGTTGTTGTTATTGTTGTTGTTCATGGGGGGCAGGTTCTGTGGGATGGGGGCGTAAGGTGCCGGGGGCAGTCGAGGTATGATGATCTGGTGGTACATCCGGCCCGGCGGGAGAGCCGGATCTGGGAAGCGGCCGCGTGGCGGAACGAACAGCGGGGCTTGTACCGCTTGTGGGGGTGGAAGTGGTGCTGGGTTCGGGTTAGGTGGGTTCTCCAGCGGTGGACCCACACGGGGTCTCTTGCCGTCTGTGGTGACGTCTGGGGGCGGGCCAACTCTTTTCCCTGAAGTGTCTGAGAGAAGAAGAGGAGGAAAGACATCATCACATGTGGGCAGAACGTGGCCCTTGGATCATTGCCATACGGTCCATAATGTCCTTAAAGGGACTGTCCGGTTAGTTTTGAGGTGTTCTGTCTAAATGTTAACAATAACAGCAATAAAAACATTTTCCAGACTTGTCTTTCCTTTCCTGCTCATCTCTGCTCCTGTCCAGCTACCTTTAGCATCCACCTGCATGGTTGGCTCGTGCTCCTCCCTCTCAGGTGGTGAGAACAGGAAACATGCTTCAGCAGGTTTGTCTTCTCTGACAGCTGGTTTTTAAAAGTCTCTCCAGGTCTTTTAAAAAATTACTCTAACAAAGAAGTTATTTTATTTTGAGCACAGCTTCAACTTCTGCTGGATCAAAGTTTTGCCACGACGTCACACAGATGAGAGTGACTTTACGTGACTCGTTTGCAGCGACAGTAACAGAAACTAAGAAAAAGCTAACATTAGCTTACCCTGCTCTTTCTTAAGTCACACTGCTYGATGGTCCAGGTTCAATATTCTGTCATTTTTCCTTCAAGTTTGGTGTACTCCACTACTGTTTTGTCACAAAAATTAGTATTTTATTAATTCAGACATCAGCCATAGGACATGGAGTTTGGAGAAGAAGCAAAAGTCTTTATCCAGGCTGGGCTGATTTACAGGCCTGTTATTAAAAACTTATTTAATTTATTTATCTCCACCTTAATTGGTCTGATATCTACAGTGTTAAAACTTCTGGTTTAACAAAAATAAACAGGACCACTTCCCCATTTTTGAGGTATAAAATGAAAACAGAATAGCCATCAGTTTTCTGTTTTACAATCTTTGTTTTTAAAATGAAAAACAAATAACTTAAAATARACGGCCCCCTCAGGAGAAAAATGATGCCAGCACCTGATTTACACCAACAATAAAACCCAAACTTCACCCACATTTATCAAGAAATGACACGTTGTGCTCACTAACCTGCACACTTCTTACTCAGCTCAGCTTCACCTTCCTTCTGGATCTCCTGAATGATTCGCTCGTCATCTTGCTGCAGAAACACAAAACATTTTGTTTCAGGAACACAGAGCTGGTTCCTTCATCAGTCATTTGTCATCCATGCAGGTCGAGCTGRGTCTGCGCTTTATAAAATCTGGAGCTTGTCTTTATTCCTTAAAGTCGCCGATTAAATGAGCTCTGACAACCTCAGAGACAAAACGGTTGAAGGCTGAACTTTCCGTGTCACACGTTTCAGGTGTAGCTCCGTTTTTCTGCTACTCTTCTGATATTTTTAACAAACTGGCAAACGTAGAGCAGGTTTAGTTAGCTGCGCTGCGCTAACATGGGTTTGGAGCTGATTATTAAAGAGAAAAGTGCAGARGCTTTAGCCTCAGAGTTAATCTTCCTCTGGCTCTGTGATCATGACYAGCTCTTTTCCAGCTCGGCTGCTGGAGCCGCTCCAGCTCATTCACTTCTTTGGACCGGAGRGACGCTTTTGGCTGCCAGAAACTCTGCAGCCAAGTCGCTGTGGGCGGCAGTAGTGAGGGTAAAAGGTCTGCGGGGTGGGAGGAGGACTTGTGCCACTTTTCTCTTACTGTAAAGCTGCCATCTTTGAGGAAAATAAGAGGCTTTCCTCTGCTTTTGTGCAACACTTTAAACAAAGCAAGGAGAAGATTCAAACGTGTTAAACGGTGTTCCGGTGCCGAGCGTTACCGTAGGGTCGGTCCAGAGGGAACACTTGCGGCAGTGGCGGCACGGCGCGCCGGGGGAGCGGGCGTGCTGGCAGAAGTGGTTGTAGCCGGTGATGGGCTCTCGGCAGAGGTAGCACATGAAGCTGCCGCAGCGGCACGACATACGGTTGCAGCCCTCAGACTTGACCAGCCCCATCCCGCACTTGACGCACTTCCTGACCCGGGCCGCTGTCATGCGCTCCTCGCTGCGGCACGCAGAGGAGAAACACAGAGAGGAAAGTGAGTAATGAGGAGAAGATAAAAGGTCATTCAGATGTTCAACATGTTTTAAACTAAAGAATACACTACAACCAGCAGATGAGAGAGAATTAAATAAGGAAATGCAATTGAAATCTTTATTTTGTGTTTCTTCTCTTGTGTATGAGAACTAGAGTCATTTGTGATCTTCAGCTAATTCAAAGTTTGTGTTGGAGTTACAGACACTCCAACTGAACTTTGATGCYATTTCTTTAGTTTTGTTCTGTTAAAACCATCATAGCAATGATCCATCTGCCAGACCACTTCCTGTCTCTTTCAGGACCAGGAAATGTAACCATCTAACAGGAAGTACCGCCTCTGCGCCTGCTGGGCCACAGGAAGCAGCTGGACCACCGGACAGGCTGCTTCCTGCTGTGTACCCAGAAAGGGCTGTGAAGGTCCGAAATAAAAGGATCGAGACAATTAGAGGCACAATTCTTTGGATTTGGTTACTTTGTTTTGTCAGCTGCTGGAGAGAAGTCAGTTTTTTTTCCCTACAAATTAAGACACCTCATCAAATATTCCTAACTAWCTCATCAATGACCTTCAGGGTGAAGGGCACTCTGTGACCCACTTACAAAAGCACTCTCATGCGGATCTCGTCTCTCTCCAGAACCTGTTCGCAGGTCTTCCCCATGTGCTGCTTCCACTGGACGTGACACTTTCTGCAGCTCTCCTAAACAGAAAAAAAGAATCAGAGCGACCGAGAGGAAAACGAGCTGAAAGCAAACAATTGTGTTATCCAGCCTCTGACACGCAGACAGTGACATGAGCTGCTCTGTATGCTGCAGGGAGTCGGGCTCACAGACCACAGCTAGGTGTGACTGACTGCAGCGAGAGCGCCTGCTGCCGACTGCTTGGTTGCCTAGGAACAACATCTCRGGCCTGTCGCCTCCTTCATCCTTGTCAAAACGTACAGATGAATGACACCCGGGGCACAAGACCACAGCTCCCCCTCCTCATGAACCCTTAGCTAAGTGCTGTCACCATAAATATTTGAGTCGCTCATCTAATATTGAAGAGTGGCATATGACTGCAGCACTGTGGGATCCATTTGTTCAGAACCAGGAAGTCCATCCAACTCCTTAAAATCCTTAAATCACTGCCTGTGTGTGTGTGTGTGTGTGTGTGTGTGTGTGTGTGTGTGTGTGTG